GAGGGTCTTCACCTGTCTCACTAAATAGTGGTGCTCAAGCTGGCCGTGGAGGGGCAGGTGGGCAGCGGGTTCTGTTGCTTGATGTCATACTGAGCATGAAGTTGTTTGATCGTCAACTTATTGAGGAGGGTTAGGGTTACGGGCGCTAGCTGTACTTGTACTACTGCTGTCGCTGGTGTAGTCCATGTGTCGTGACGATTCCATGCACTTTTTTATTTTTTTTATTTCTCTACTTCAAGTTCTCAACATCTCAGTATCGGACGATGTAGGGGGGGGCAGATTCATGTCCAATGAAGCATCGCTGATGGCGTAACCCGGCAGATGTGTGTTTGACGGCAACGCAAATGAATAGCTCGCCGCAGCTGCCTGGTCGAGATCGGCATTCGTCGCGGGCAAGTTTCTCACGAGAGCCTTTGCGCGTACGGAAGAAAGCGTTGGTGCCGGCAAGTTTTCGATCGAAAGCGAAGTTCAGCAGTCACTTGCCTGGTGGAGCTTTGCGCAAGCTCCGCCTCAATAAACTCTCGAATATGCCTTCCGAAATGTATCGCCACGATATATGCTCTCTAGGTTTGTCGCGGGCTCTGATGTTTTGGGGACGTTGTCGGAGTAAACGAATAAACATTTCACCTCCGGTGGGTCACTACTAGAACGATATGTCGAATGGATCCGACCGACCGCTCGCTCCCTCACCGACGGCAAATCCCTTGCCAACGGTTGACCCTTTTCCCCCACTGTTGCGCTCGGTCGATTTACTGTACAGTCCGACATTTTCAACAAGAAGTGTGTGGTCAGCGGATGCACCTTGCGCGCAACGTTCGGCGTTGAGGGAGGGAAGCGGAGCCGCTGTGCGCGCCACACTGGGTCCAGCGGAAAGATGGTCAACTTTAACCGCAGGAGGTACGTTCGTTCAGCAGTAGACGTAGACGCACCTTTTGAGTGTCGGTACAGTAGGCGCGCGCGTTAGAAGAAACGTCATTTTTGGGGTTGAGGCTCAATACATGTTTTTATTCGTTACCACCGTCGAGCGTAGGTCATCACCATTGGGTGGAAGAAACGGAACAGCGCTAGTGTACGCACGATAGTGTTATGAAAATCCCTCCAAGCTCCCAGCTCTGGTTCATCCAACTCCTCGGCTTGGGCATGCCCGTTCGCAACCTATTATTTCCCTTCCGACCCCTTGCTACATGTCATACGCGTCATGTTTCACTGCCGACCTCTCCCGCGAAGATTGGTTGACGACAAGTTTGCTAGACTCAGGTGCTTGCAACATTTTTTGTCTTGTCTTGACTTCAAATCAGCGCTCACAGCAGCACTTGTGCCGTTTACTCCAACTCGTGGTCACACGGAAGGGTTCCTCTCCCTAAGGCTCCCTACCCACTCCTCCTGCGGTACTTTGCCTTCGACTTTTACGGCACGTGTTTTATTCTTGAAAGTGTATTTTGTAGTACTGGACGTACATCGCATGCAACCACGATTTTACCCACGTTGCTTGTTGAGGACGGTCGTGTATCACGCCTCTGTCCGCTTGGCGTTTTTTTTGTTTTGTTAGTTTTTCTCCCATCATTGGACTCTGTCGTCTGCCCCTCTGGCCCCTATCCTCCACTTCTACTAGCTAGACGACCCAACCGGGGTCACATAGGAGGGGGGGGTTGGACCCCCTCCTGCTGGCGTGTAGGATTCCAAACCGGTTCAACGGGAACGATAGTTATTTTGTGTTTTCTTATTCGTTATTATATTTTTTCTAGCTTTTGCCAACAGGTGGGCTCAGCCATGGACTACCGTATATGACACAAGATAACACACCCCCTGGACCGATTTTCAAAGCTCGATCACTCCACGAAGAGGATGCATAGACGAAAGGATACGTTTGAGAGAGCTCTCGAACAGATGGCTTCAACGCCGCCGTTTTCGGCCCTGTAACTGTTACTGCTTTGAATAATCGAGCTTTGAAAATCGGTCCAGGGGGTGTGCTATCTTGTGTCATATACGGTAAATTGGCAAATGCAAGTGAATGGTAGCTTACCGACGACCTGTGCACAGTGGCTCTCAGACACCTGCTCGGCCCTGAGCCTCACTCACGATGGCAGTTTCTCGCGGGACGGGTCTGCACTGTATGCATTGCTCTCCTCAACCTCCCCCCCAAGATCCTGGGCTACGTGATACAAGACCAACCTGTGTGTCTACGGTTACCCAAGCAGCAGTGCTGGTTCGCGGCCGTGCCTACATGTGGATAGCCCACCAGAGCCAAAGCCAGACAAAACCATTTCATTCATTCCACCCTCCAGTTTGACACGCTTTTGAAGAGTACTCCCCCCCCCCCCCCCTCCGTCCCTCCCTCCCTCCGTCCCTCCCTCCGTCCCTCCCTTCCTCTCCACGCGTTCGTTGTGCGTGCCCCTGGGTCATGTACCTATTCGCTCATCGACGAGCAGTAGGTGCACCATTCGTGGGTGCTCCGAAGTGGCTTCGAAAGGCTCCAAGCCCGGAACGAAACAGGTGAATGTTGTTGTTGTTGTTGTTGTTGTTGACTTCACATTAAACCGTATGCCAGTTGCTAAATGCCAAAATCTAGCAAAGACTCTCAGCCCGTGGTCACGAAAGTGCTAGAGCCATCTGAGGATCTAAAGAACACGCACACGTAGCAAGAAAAAGGT